CTTTGCCACCAGTGAGCACCAGGGTTTTGGGATTATCCCACTACTGCCACTAAGGGGCGGGGAGATCCCACTTTGCCACCAATGAGCACCAGGGTTTGGGGATGATCCCACTGCTGCCACTAAGGGGGGGAGGAGATCCACCCTTGCCACCAATGAGCACCAGGGTTTAAGGATGATCCCACTGCTACCACTAAGGGGGGGGCAGGGCCTTGCTGGGAGATCCCACTCTTGCCACCAGTGAGCACCAGGGTTTGGGGATGATCCCACTGCTGCCACTAAGTGGGGGAGATCCCACCCTTGCCACCAGTGAGCCCCAGGGTTTGGGGATGATCCCACTCCTGCCAGTAAGGGGGGGCAAGGCCTTGCTGGGAGATTCCACCCTTGCCACCAATGAGTAGCTGTTTTTTGGGGTGATCCCACTCTTGCCACTCGGGGGGGCAGGGCCTTGCTGGGAGATCCCCTTATTGCCCCCAGCGATCTGCCGGGTTTTGGAGAGATCCCATTGCTAACACTAAGTGGGGCAGGGCTTTTCTGTGACATTGCCACCAATGAACGGCAGGGTTTTGGGGAGATCTCACTGCTGCCACTCGGGGAGGGGGCAGGGCCTTGTTGGGAGATCCCACTGTTGGCGCCAATGAACAGATGGTTTTTTGGAAGATCCCACTTCTGCCTCCAGTTGGGGGGGCAGGGAGATCCCATTCCTGCCACTCTGGAGGGCAGGGCCTTGCAGAGAGATCCCACTCCTGGTACCAGTGAAGGTCGGGGAGCAGTCCCACTTCTCCAGCCAATGAGCAGCAAGGCTTTGTGGAGATCCCAGTGTTGTCACTAAAAGGGTAGGGCCTTACAGGGAGATCCCACTTCTTCCACCAAGGGAGGACATCATGTGGATGTTAGAGTTGGACAGTTCTCAGCTGGAGGACTTGTGGTTGAAGGGTACAGTGTAATGAGGGAGCAAACGTGCTAGCATTGGATGTTGTATTGTTGTGAATTATAGGATAGGATTGCTTTGGATGATGGGTGTTGGGTTGAGTTGTGTCTAAGCTATATATAGTGATAGTGGGTTGAATGGCAGCTGTTGCTTTGGGTGGTCAATGCTGAGTTGAGTTGTTGGGGTTGCATAGGGGGATTGGATTGGATAGTGGTGGTTGTGTTGGGTTGAGTTCAGGGAGTGGGTTACATGGCAGCCATTGTGTTGTTCACTTACAATGTAGAATTAAATTGGATGGTGGTTATTTCGTTGGGCAACTGATGTTGGGTTGGGTTATAGTTGAGTTGGTCAGTGAAATTGGATTGGGTGGTGGTGTGGACAGTCAACGCTGGGTTGTAGTTGAGTTGTGCGATGGAATTGGATTGGGTGGTGGTGCTTGGGAGGGCAGTCGATGTTCGGTTGTAGTTGAGGTGTGCGATGGAATTGGATTGGTGGTTAGGTAGGCAGTCGATGTTGGGTTGTAGTTGCGTTGTGCAATGGAATTGGATTGGGTGTTGGTGTTTGAGTGGGCAGTCAATGTTGGGTTGTAGTTGAGTTGTGTGATGGAATTGGATTGGGCGGTGGTAGAGTGGGCAGCTGGTGTTGAGTTGGGTTGTAGTTGCGTTGTGCGATGGATTTGGATTGGGTGGTGGTGTTTGGGTGGGCAGTCGAAGTTGGGTTGGGTTGTAGTTGAGGTGTGCGATGGAATTGGATTGGTGGTTAGGTAGGCAGTCGATGTTGGGTTGTAGTTGAGTCGTGTGATGGAATTAGATTTGGCAGTGGTTGGGTGGGCAGCTGGTGTTGAGTTGAGTTGGGTTGTAGTTGCGTTGTGTGAAGGAATTGGATTGGGTAGTGGTGGTTGGTTGGCAGTCGATGTTGGGTTGGGTTGTAGTTGAGTTGTGCGATGGAATTGGATTGGGTGGTGGTGCTTGGGAGGGCAGTCGATGTTCGGTTGTAGTTGAGGTGTGCGATGGAATTGGATTGGTGGTTAGGTAGGCAGTCGATGTTGGGTTGTAGTTGCGTTGTGCGATGGATTTGGATTGGGTGGTGGTGTTTGGGTGGGCAGTCGAAGTTGGGTTGGGTTGTAGTTGAGGTGTGCGATGGAATTGGATTGGTGGTTAGGTAGGCAGTCGATGTTGGGTTGTAGTTGCGTTGTGCGATGGAATTGGCTTGGGTAGGTAGACGATGGAGTGGAGCACAGCTGATAGACGTGCTGCAGTGAAGTTGCTTTGAGTGGTGGATGTAGGGGGGACGTCCAGGAGCGTAGCAGAGGCTGTGCAGGGCTGGGTGTAATGGTGGATGTCCTGAGCAAGGTGGTTAGATCTGCGATTGTCTTGGGCAAGGCGGTGGAGGGCCGGGTGGGTTGGATGGCAAACGTTGAACTGGTCAATTCACGAGCATTGTGTTGAGAGAGTTGACGGCGGGGGCATGTTGGATGAGGCTTGAATGTTGGCTTGATGGGCTGGGTGGGACGGGGGTGGGGAGGAAGGCTGGTGGGGGGCTAGGGCTGGGAGGGGGAGCGGGCTGGAG